TTCTTAAATCTATGAAATCTTGAACATGTTCGATATTTCGAATGAATTAATCTATCTTGCTGAGATTGTATCGAAGCAACACTCTAAAGAATTCAGTATTTATTGGCAGATTGGCAAAATCTCTTCCTATATTTATCCAGCTGAAGAAGCAGACAAACAAAACACCCACAAAGAATTCACAGAGTTGGAGATGCACATACACACACGTATATCTGTATATAAATAAGTTAAACAACGTCGAGCCTGGTCACTACTTCGATGGGCGACCGCTTGGTAATACCAGATGCTGTAGGCTTGAATGTACGGGTGGTTTAATGGATAATGGCTCGGAATTGTTAATCAGAGATCCGACTTCCAACCAGTACGCCAAAACCTACTGCACCCGGCATTCTCAAGCATTCATCCATCTATATACTAACCAGGCTGGACGTTGCTTGCCTCCAGTAATCGTACGGCAACCAGTGTTCACTAACAGAGATTTTTCCCCGAGAACTGTTATTTCGCGTAACAAACTCCCGTGTTGATGCTTCCATAAACACTACTGTCTTAATCTCTTCAAATGGCTCTTTGTTATCGATTGTCTTTATCCGCATAACATTCACTTCTTTCTAATATCTCATACGTGTATATCACACAAATCATTCAGTCATAAGTGGCACATCCTGGCTAAGACGATAAACTACGTGCGCGTCCTGGGTAAGGCGATAAACTACTTCCAACAACAAGGCCTCTGAGCGTCCTGGGTATGAGGAAAAACTATATCCGCGTCCTGTGTAAGACGATACACGACGTCCAACAGCAATAATTCTGATCAGGAGGTTTTGAGGAGCATGGCACCACCTCTTAATCGCTGGTGATCACATGTCCACTCGGATCCGGGACGTAGCACATGTTAAGGTCCCAGCTATAGGAGATTAGTTGACCCCAACTCTATACTGGGGTCAAAACACTATGAAAGTGTCAAAATATGTTTTAATACCACCAATACTTTGTTGTAAGAAATTATTGCTGGCAATGAAGTTTTGAAGGAACAAAATTATTACCAGCAATACATTTTTGGGAAAACAAAATTACCAGCAATACTTTAAAAGAAAGAAATAATATTACCAGAAAGGCATTTTGGAACAAGCACCTGTTAAGAGGTCCAAGCTATAGACAAATAGTTAACCCCCAAACTGAGGTCAAAACAATATTAAAGTGTAAAAATAGGTTTTAATAGCAGCTATGCATTTTTGTAATAATTATTACCAGAATTAAATTTTTGAAGAAAAATTATTACCAGCAATACATTACTACAAGCAATACATTTTTGAAGAAAAATATTACTAGCAGTATATTTTTGAAGGAGAATTATTGCCAGCAATAGATTTTTGAAGAAGTATTATTGCCAGCAATAGATTTTTGAAGAAGAATTATTGCCAGCAATAGATCTTTGTGAAAAAATATATATTAGCACCAATACATTTTTTTGAAAAGAATTATTACCAACAATAAAAATCGCTCGGCATTAAATAACTCATTGAGGTTGATATGCCGTAAAACAAAAACAAAACAAAACAAACTATGAGCCTTATATTGGGTGGGCTTTAATATAAAAAATACCCCCATTCGATAGTTCTATCATTTCAAAAATTTGTTGCATAGACCACTTCTGCAGGGTAGGTCTTTGTCATCGGCGCCAAACTGAACCTATGTTGCATAATCCCCTTATCGACGGCGTTGATTCATTCATATGTTGTATTCTCTCGAGGCAGGCTATCGCTGTTTTGAGTTTAGACATAAAAGAACTTCAACACAGGGAATTTTAACTATTTATTAATCTCTTAGACGTGTTCACTTCTTACTATCCAGTGGGGTCGCTCTCCCTCCACTGGGGAACAGTTTCAGACACGAAAGAAAACACGTCTACATTGTTTGGCGGTTATGACTCAACTTTCTCTATACCTATAATGTCTACGGTAGGTCAGCCAGTTAAAATCGACTTGCTTTGTCTTCCATCTGACCTCGAAGGTCAACATCAGGAAGTCCGAGCAGAGCTACCATTCCCACTAAAATTATTAGTCTGTTAAACTACGATTTAGCAAAATTTTCTTGGTTAAAATAATAGTAACAGCTGGCCAAATAGAGTATTGTAGTTGTTAGTGAGCTAATTTCCTCTCAGATGTAAGGAATTCTACATTGGCAGATGTATTTCAAACCAAATTAAGATCACGGTCTGTGTATAGCCACTTGAAGCTGTGATTAGTTCAAATAACAACAAAAATTTCGTGTAGAAATCATTCATTAGACTGAAATTATATATATATATATATATATATATATATATATATATATATATATAGATAGATAGAATAGATAGATAGATCGGAACATAATGAGACAGGTATAAAAATAATAAAATAAATACATAGATATGAACGTAGATAGATAGATAGATAGATAGATAGATAGATAGAAAAAATTAGGAATATAAAATACATTGTAAAATACTCCATAGTCATTTACTGAGATCAGCTTAGTTTGGCACAAGGCAACAAGTATCTGGCGCCCAAAGATGATGTATCTCATTAGTCGGTAGTAATAGTCAACCAGAATTAATTGCAGGAGGTCAGGGGTCAGATTTTATAAGAAACGAATATTACGTGCATAAAATCGAATCAGATTGACAAGGATAAAAGACGAAGCCAAGTGTGTTCACAATTCTTCCCTTTGTTCTTTACTCGGTAATATTCCTAAACGACTTAGACAGAAAATTTCAGCTAAGTATTTGTTTAAAAAAAAATGACTTGGCAAGAAAATGAGAATAATAACCGCAGTGCATTCAAAATTTCCACACAAGGCTATCGAGTGCAACTTGGTGGATTAACAATGAATAATGAATTTTCTTTCAAGTCGGGTTGCTTAGCCGCCTTTCAGCGGCGACATTTCAGACTGCTTCCTCTTTGCCATTCTCTCTTTCTTGTCTTCAAACACTGCTCTATTAACTAACACTTAATTAGCGGAAAAATAGCTTGATTGAAATTACTATTAGCCCAATTTTTTCCTTCCGGTGTATGCCTGTTACAGAGTTGAAAATTTGGCTTCGTGTCGCGCTGACTGACGGTCAGTGCATCAAATATGTATACACTTAGTTTTCAAGTAGACGAGCGGGTTGAAATAATAAGAATGGCGGAAATATTTCTTATTTTCAATTTCATTTTGGGGGAAAATGTATGACAAAGTGGAAAATTTTCTTGTGACGCGTTTTGTCCTTTAGGATTTCATCGGAATAAATTTGTTATGTTGGTGCAGCTACACATGCGCACGAACGAGGGATGCTGGGAATTTTATTTTTTTTTTTTATTTTTCTTCCTATCACTTTTGCTTTATTAAATATTTTTGTTATAATTTTCTTTAATTATTTTTTTATTACAGAATCCCCGCAGCTAAAATTAAGGGGCATCAGGAATATTTCTTGAATATTTAATTAAAAAATGGGTCTGGAATTAGAGTACCTCGAGTACTTTGTTTTCGCTTCTTTTTTTTTTTTTTTTTTTTTCACCAAAGCAAACATAATCGACCTGTTCCGTCTATTAAAAACACAGATGTAAGCTCGTTTACGTAGCTGGCTTTTATTGAGCCTAACTGAGATTCAAACGAAACCATACGTATGGGACACCCAGTGAGGATCGAACTCATTACTCATTAGTAGTGCTCAACCAAGTTAGCTCGTTAACCATTACTCGAATCCGAGTAGACATCTGTTCACTAAGATCGCTTTCTTTTGACGCTAGGACACAATTATGGGCCACCCAGTGAGGATCGAACTCATTACTCAATAGTAATAATCAACCAAATTAGCTCATTAACCATTACTCGGAAACTAGCAGACATTTGTTTGCTAAGATTGTCTTCTTTTGGCACGAAGACACAATAATGGGACACCCAGTCATGATCGAAATCATTTCTCAGTAGTAATGATCAGCCAAGTTAGCTTGTTAACCATTACTCGAAACCGAGCTGCTATCTGTTCACTAAGATTGTTTTCTTTTGGCGCAAGGACACAATTATGGGGTACCCAGTGAGGATGGAAGGCATTACTCGTAATATTAGGCGATATTTATTTTTATTATTATTAACCTTGTATTTCTTTGTTTTATTCTACAGCAACAATATTACACGGAGAGCCCAAATGATCTAGTTTCTTAATAAGTTGTGTTCAATTTCGGAGAAGCCATTGGGAAAAGCTTAAGTCCATTATTTCCAATCAACCAGCTGTGAGCTGAATCTTCTTCTGCTTCTTCTATGTACCGTGTCCCTTCAGTGCATCCACGATCACGGCTCTCCACACTTTCTTTCCCTTGTGGCTCTCAGTAATTTTTTTTTTTTCGATATCGTTTCCTCCACCCGTTTCGGCATCCATTGATCCCAGCTGGACAGGAAAGTGGCCTGTTACTTTCCACTGCCCCTTTTGCTTTCGATGTGCCCTGTGAGTTTCGAAATTCTCCAAACCCTCTTTCCTCATTATATGTTCAAGAGATTTTAATAGTCTCGTTCCAATTGTGAGTATGGCCGTTCTTTATTTTTTATGTGTTTCCTTAAGATTTATTCGTTGATTACGCGCTTAAATTTGATTGCTTGCCGACAATGGGGACAAATTTGCAATGAGAACCGTGGAAAAGGCAAGATGAAACCTATCGACTATCATTTAAGGTAATTCTCAGATAACAAAGAAAGTGATATTTTTAGAGCTGCCATCGTCTATACTATTCAGGGACATTGAATTATAACACAAAAATAAAACTGAATACAACACTGAACAATAAATGGATCGATTAATAAAAATTCGGTAGCGATGGTTACCTTATAAGGTGACAATATCTTAAAGCCTAGAATGGATTTCAAAAAGCATGCGTTCTTTTACGTTTCTGTTATTTATGTATCATGTCATTTTTCGACCAATCAGATGCGAACTTTTCACTTTACACTCCGCGTTATAGGAAACGCATTTCTGCATTTAATCATTCTGACAAGAAAAAATAAGAACGTTCCTCGAGCAAATGACGGAAAACAAAACGGTACTGTATATCGAATAGATAGCTAAAATCTTCTGTTGGTGGGGAATCAGTTCTGGTGGGAGACAGACAAGCAAAAATTGAAAGAAAAACTGAACATATTAAGAAATGATGAAGTCAAATTACTTTGAAAGGAGAAAGAGAGAGAAAAAAAATTGTCTTGCAGGAGGGAAATTACTTGACAAGATGGCGGACGTTCAGTGTTCACATGACCTACCAGGGGAATTGTTACTGCTGGTAGCAAGTCGATATTACACAAGGTGTATAATTTAAGTGTCGTACGACTAGCGACAAGCCTATACACGTGGCTGAATGATTACAGGAAGGAACACACGCGAAAGCAACCTGGTTTATCGTAATGCTGAAAAGTTCTCGGCTCACCTAAGAAGAATTACCTATTGTCGTTGAACGCACATGGAATTCCATATATTCACATTCCGGTTCAACACTCCGAGTCTTACTTCTCTTTAAAACAGGCTTTCCCACGCTGGGCGATATCGTCCACCGGTGGCCGATTTCACCTGTTGGGTGGTCGATGAGCAACTGAACAGAAAACGTTGGGCGATTGGAAATTTTGGTGGATGATATAGAATTTTAACAATTAAAAATATATTTCAACCTATGCTACCCGAAAACATTCAAAAGAAATATAAAAATCTGTATATAAAAAAAACAAAAAAAAAAAAAAAAAAAAAAAAAAAAAACAGGAATCTAAACAAGAATATCTGGTTTACATTCTTAAATAAGATATAAATATCCCCGCACACAAAGGATATTTTTGTTAATTTCTATATAGTTTTCAATGGTCAAGTTTCGTTTGTTTATATATATATATATATATATATATATATATATAGATAGATAGATAGATAGATATATATATGATAGTATCAGCAGTACCCGTCGCATAAGTGTAATTCAGACAGCTAATATAAAAAAGAATAGAAAATATAACACAAACCGACAAGAGGCGATATTCAAAAACCTGTCATGATACGCGAAAACACAATGATGAAAAAAACGCTGAAATTGATATAGCACATAAAAGAAAAAAAAATCTTTGGACAGTGTATATTCAAATGTACACCGGGAATCTCAAAATATCAAATTTGTCTCGACTTATAAATTAAGTAAATCAGTTTCTAAAACGTTATTCTTAGCATCGCTTGATAATTGAACGGAACTTGTATTTTAATTTTAATTTTAATTTTTTGATGATTTCAGTTTGAAACTTTGAATTGAAGTTTCATTATATTTTAAAAAACTTGCAATTTATATATATATATATTATATATATATATATATATAAAAATATATATATATATATTTATATATATATATATATATATATATATATATATATATATATATAAATAAAAAAAAATTATTAATATATATATCTGCTTACACGTTATTTTTTAATAGATACAATTTATTTTAGTGATTTTCCAAGCGTAGCTTGAATGTGGCACAAGGCCGAAATTAAGGGGTACCCAGTGAGGATCGAACTCACTACTCATTCGTAATAGTTCCAGCGAAACAAGCTTGCTAACCATTACACCACCTCGAGGTGCCCACAATTTATTTTAGTAAGTACTCTCGTCAGACCAGTAAATATAATTAATACTGTTTATTTAAAAAAAAAAAAAAAAAAAAACAGAGCATTTACTTAAATAAATTGTATCTATAAAAAATAACGTATAAGCCGAAATATATTAAATAATTGTCGGATATTCATAATATGTTGTCAATGTTTACATTAAGGTACGTTTCATGAGCACATATGATCGTATGGAAAAGATGATCGAAGATTTGTTTTTTATAAAAAGTAATTATTTGTAGCTGAGTGGTATAGCACGTCAGATCAACTGACGCTTTCATATAAGACAGAGGTTCGATCCCTAGCGGAGAACGCATATTTTCTACGAAATTTTCAGGCCGGTAAATGTAAATAATACTGTTTATTTTAAAAAAAAAAAAAAGCATTTACTTAAATTTGATCTATTAATTTAAACAAAATATATACACACACATACATAAATACATGCACACACACACACACACACACACACATATATATATATATATATATATGTTTCTGAGGTTAAGTTTTTTTTTTATTATTTAATATTCCTTTTGTTCTTATAATTTTCCTCTTTTCTGGGCATAAATATTTTCTTTACTGGGCTTAAATTATGTAGAAATTGTTCGAATGTTCTGTATGTGTGAGCACTTTCGGCGATGTTTTTCGCCATTATTAAAGATAATTTTATTTTTAGTTTTAACTGAAAAACTCTTTACTAATTATGTTTTAATTATTTATATCAAATGAAAAATATATGATATGTAACGATTGCTTAAATACATAGAATGTTTTCCCTCGCGAGCGAATATTTCGTCGAGTGGCCAAAACAGAATGATTTGTTTCTTTAAGGCTTATGAACATTTCGTAGGTTATTTAAAGACATAAAATATTTTTAGATAGTAAGAATTTTATGGTGATAATAATGTTTTTAATACTGAAAAGTTGTACTAATTAACCCATAGTTGGGTGGAGAAGAGGTGGATTCATGCCTTTCTCAAAGATATTTAAATGTAAGAGACTAAGATGACAACGACTGGAAATGGAACGAGGCTCCCAGGATTACAATTTCGAGCTGATAACCATTACATTACGCGAACATCTAGGTTTGCAGTACCTGGTATTGAACAGTGGTCAAAGATTTAGGTACTGACTAGGCTCAAAATTGCTTAACTTTCAACGGTCGAAACATGGTGAATATTACAATAAAGACGAGGACAACAGTCTGAGCAATGTAAATAATGTAAATAATTAAATATCTTATTTTAGAAATATAGACAGATCCTGAGGAAGGCCGGAGCGTACAACGGTCGAAACATCGTGAATATGACAATTAAGACGAGGACAACACTTTGAATAATGTAAATAATGTAAATAATTACAATATCTCATATATATATATATATATAGATAGATAGATAGATAGATAGATAGATAGATAGATAGATAGATAGATAGATAGATCTTGAGGAGGGACGGAGCGTACAACGGTCGAAACATCGTGAATATGACAATAAAGACGAGGACAAGTCCGAACAAGTTAAATAATGTAAATAATTACAATATCTCATCTCAGAAATATAGACAGATCTTGAGGAAGGCCGGGGCGTACAACGGTCGAAAGATCGTGAATATGACTATAAAGACGAGAACAACAGTCTGAACAATGTAAATAATGTAAATAATTAAAATATCTCATCTCAGAAATATAATCATATTCTGAGGAAGCCGGAGCGTACAACGGTCGAAACATCGTGTATCTGACAATAAAGACGAGGACAACAGTCTGAACAATGTAAATAATGTAAATAATTAAAATATCTCATCTCAGAAATATAGACAGATCCTGAGGAAGGCCGGAGCGTACAACGGTCGAAACATCGTGAATATGACAATAAAGACGAGGACAACAGTCTGAACAATGTAAATAATGTAAATAATTAAAATATCTCATCTCAGAAATATAATCAGATTCTGAGGAAGCCGGAGCGTACAACGGTCGAAACATCGTGTATCTGACAATAAAGACGAGGACAAGTCTGAACAATGTAAATAATGTAAATAATTACAATATCTCACCTCAGAAATATCGACAGATATTTTTCTCTCATTTTGTCAACAGTTTGCGCTTAAATTCCTTGTGTAGAAGAACGTCATGATAGTGACACTGTAACATTTTGTTCCTGTTACACACCAATAGTCGAATTAAATATCAACATCCTCACATTGCACGTGTTTTCCAAAAGGGCCATTTACTTAACTTTCAACATTTTCCGTGTTTTTATTATTCATAGCGTTTTTCTCCTCACCAGAAAATTGGACATTACTCCTCTCTCTTCCTCCCTTATTAACAATTTTATTTAGTTTCAACAATCAGAAATTATTGGCTCGCTTGTTGCTTTCCCGGTGTCAGTTAGAAATGTTCTTAGTTCTGTCTGTCTAAGGACTGTTTACAGCGATAGGAAATAATGCCAAAGAGAGGGGAAAAATGTCATTCGCAGACAGACTGAGAAAAAAGAATGACCAATAAAATCTATTGGACAATGTCGGCTTGATCAGAAAGATGGAAATGAACACAATGACGTTTGTATTGTTTAAAAGGCAGAATGTCATATGTGTTCGCAGTTAAATAACAATATAGGTGCATATTATAGAAACTTGCTCTCCATAATATATATATATATATATATATATATATATATATATATATATATATATATATATGAGAGAAAGAACAGATAGAGTGAAATTTCACTATTCATGGCATTTATTTTTAAAAGTGCATAATAAAAAGTAGAGCAATATATGTATGTTTCTGAGATGAGGTATTATGTACATTATTTACATTATTCGGACTATTGTCCTCATCTTTGTCGCCATATTCATTACAACGTTTCGGCCGCTGTACGCTCCGGCCTTCTTCAGGTGGTTGGAATGTCGAACTGAACCCTTTATTTTTGCTCACTGGGGTAGACTGTTCTAGTTCCACGTGCCATGTTTTAATGGATGCCAGTTATCCGTTATCTCCTGTTAATTTTCCCTCTGAAAGTTCTCCACTGCCTTAACCGGGTATTGAACTCACACTCTTTAGGTCCTGTCACTGGATCTAACCAACGCCTTTATCCACTGTGCCATTGAGGACATCTGGGTATGAATTTCTGGGTATTATAAACCTAATGTCTTCAGCAAGCATTTTCCAGTGCTCATATTGCAATTTTGCTGTTACTATTGCATATTTTTACCAGAGCTCATATTGCAACTGTTGTTATCATAGCTTTTCTCTGACACTCCTTATTACTGGTTCCCATATTGTATTTACTTCTATGTTTGGTCGGCTCAGGAGATTTCTGTGGCCTAGCATATGTGCTGATTCCTTAAGTCTACGAATTTTCCAATGGTGTTCCTTGTCTATGATCTCAACATGATCCCACAGAGGGTGGTGATCTCCCTTTTCTCTCCATATGTGGTCAGCCACGCCTGATTTTTCTACTTCCCCTCGTGTTACAGCTTTCTGGTATTCTTGAAGCATTACCTTGAGGGGGCGGGATACAGTACACACAGTCTTTAGTCATGTTCTCCTCTGTGGTGTGGGGTCTTACTCGGGAGAGATATCTGCGAAGTGTCGTCCAGCTTTTGAAGGTTGCCCTGATGTTATATGGACCGCAGATCCTTTGTATGTTCTCTGATAACCCCTTCACATAAGGCAGTCAGACTGTTTTCTGAGTGTCGTTGGCCTCCTCCTCTTGTACCCGCCTATACCCGTTTTTGGGGACTGCTGCCATGTACCCAGGGTATTTGTTACATTGTAGGGTACTACTTATACTGGCCAATTCTTTATCTAACGTCTCTGGGTCGCCACTTATGACTTTTGCTCGGTGTTGTAAGCAACGGACGATCCCCTTCTTTACGCTGTATGGATGGTGGGAGTTGAAATTGAGGTACTGTCCGCTGAATGTCGGTTTACGGTATACCAGCAATGGCGAATATATACATGGAATACTTTGAGGAAATGGCATTAGAATCTATATCTCTAAAGCCAACTATATGGTTATGGTACGTAGATGACACCTTTATACTCTGTCCAAACCAGGATGATGTTCAGGTTCTACTGGACCATGTGAACTCAATAAGACCTTCGATACAGTTCACAATGGAGAAAGAGAGTAACAGCACACTCTCATTCCTGGATGTTCTAATATCTCTGGGTTTAAGACATCCATATACCGTAAACCAACATTCACCGGGCAGTAAAGGGTTCAGTTCGACATTCCATTCTGAAGAAGGCCGGAGCGTATAACGGCCGAAACGTTGTAATGAATATGGCGACAAAGATGAGGATAATAGTCCAAATAATGTAGAGCAAGATAATATTATTTTTTATTATGAGAGTGATATTCAGCACCTCCTCACCAGAATTCCGTAGACAAATCTTTTTTGTAATTGTAATATATATATATATATATATATATATATATATATATATATATATATATATTTTTAAAAAAGTACACATATTTTTGGTTATTTTAAGAATAGAGTGTAACAAAAAATTATATCGAGACCAGACTAGGGAACAATTTAAATGTTTAATATTTTCTACATCAATATCAACAGCCACATTTGTAAAAAGTAATTCACGTAATAGTTACACAAATAATCAATAAATTTAATATATATAAAACATCTGTTGACAAGGACAATTTATTCCAGAATATATATATATATACATATATATATATATATATATATATATATATATATATATATATATATATATATATATATATATGGCACATTGAGTCCTGGGGTTATTAAAATAGTTTTCTATAATTGAGCTAAATATTTATATATCAAAAATAAATATACATTGTTTTACTCGCCAGCAGCACAATGGGTTTCCAATCAGCTTGACGACTCCGTAGTGCATGAGACTCAAAGTTGTGCTACCGCTGAGAAAAAATATATATATATATATATATATATATATATATATATATATATGGTTGGATAGATGTGAGTTTGTGACCCTGGGTTTCACGCTTTAGCGATCGTCAGACAAACTGATTAATGTATTAAAAAAATTGGGTTTATGTAGATTGCGTGTATTGGTTTTATTGTGGGAGTGGTGGGGGAAACTTCGTCGTATGGTCATTCATCGTACTAACGCAAACATCGATGTATGCAGACATATACATACTTGGTCGACGTCGGGACTCATACATATATAAACATATGTGGGCATTTTCGGCTATGACATATGTATGTATACAGGTGGTTATGTCTATACATACGCATTTGTATGTTGAAATGTTGAAATTTAAACATTGGAAGTGTGGCGGAAATGTCTCGTTAATGTCTCGTGAATGTATACATGTCATATTATGTATTTTTCCGCTGAAAAAATATTTCCTCGCATGTATGTATATACGTGTGGTGGTGTTTGTGTAAAATTATGATAGGTAAAATTATTATTATTTATATTTATTTTAAATTTTGAAAAAAAAAAAATATATATATATATATATATATATATATATATATATATATATATATATATATATATATATGTGTGTGTGCGTGTGTGTGTCTGTCTGCATGTTTGTTTTGTATGTCTGTACATAACTGATGAAAAAACAGAACAAATATAGCGTATTCTCACTTAGCTCAGTCTGGTATAAGGCCGAAAATATATAGGAAAATGATGACTGGTCTTTTACGCATTCTACGAGGCTGGCACCCCCCTCTCTCTCTCTCTCTCTCTCTCTCTCTCTCTCTCTCAGTCTAGGGCCTAGGGTTTACTGCCACATAGCCTTGAAACACCGGTACCCGTACTATCAACGAAGTTAAGCAAAGTCGAGCCTGGTCAGTAACTAGATGGGTGACCACTTTGGAATACCAGCTGCTGTAAGAATGTGTGCAGGTGGTGTAATGGATAAAGGCTGGGGATTCTTAATCAGAGAGCCGACTTTCAATTTCAGCTGTGTTCGTTATATTCACTAAGTATATGCAAATATCCATGGGAAAGGTATGAATCCAACTCTTCTCCCCCGAGCTATGGGTTAATTAGTAAAACTTCTATCAGTAAATCAATAACACCTCACAAAAAAAAAAATTCTTGAAAACTAAAATTATTTTCTGGCTTTGAATAACACGCAAACAGTAGATATGCTGTAGAAAACGAATCAATCTATGTATCTAACTCTTTTCACACACACTATATATATATATATATATATATATATATATATATATATATATATATTACAGAGCATTAATATTATAAATTAACTGATTTAAAATATGTTTTTTTTTTGCTACACAGTTCTAACCCTGTTTCAAAAATGGAAGCGTATTTTGGAGTTACTTACTTTTAAAATTACTGGGTTTTAAAGGTACTGCAAAAATTCATAATTCACGCTTTTAGCTTCCATTTTTGGAACATGGTTAGAACTGTATAGCGAAAAAACATATTTTAAATCAGTTAATTTATAATATTAATGCTCTGTAAATTTACATTGAGCACTATTTTTTAAAAATAATAATATCTATAAGAACACCAGATTATATATCTTACTGTTCATTCTTTTCATTTACACACACACACACACACACCTTTTTTGTATTTTTTTTTAAGAAGCTTAATTTACATTTAAAATTAATCCGGATCAACGTATTTGACCAGATATTTATTTCGACGCTTACATATAACGACCAATTCATTTGTCTTGTTTATAGCTATGTCCAGATTCCGTTAAGGACAACTGATAAGGTACTGCTATTAAGTTTTGTATTTCATTTTCCTTGTGTCTTCTTTTCTGGGCACAAAGTTCGCATCCGAAACATACTAGTATAAAATACAAGTAACATAGGCCCATAGAATGATTAAAAATAATGGAATCCCTATTAAAAAAAAAAGGAAACGCCAACACTCAATATCATTAACTACGAACACGGCCAATGTGCTGATCGTGTTTACTTTCCAGTAAAACATTCCTATAACTTCATACACAAACATAAAAAAACCCACATATTTAGTTAACAATAAAAAAACAAAAATCGTCTTTGATGATAGCTAAAAGAATAGTCAAAGCACTCGGATATGCAGGACTTTTAAGCAGATTTTATACAATTTGTGTCCGAAAAAAACAACACAAAACACTTGTAAGAGAAATACAAGAAAATGAAATAAAAAGCTTAATCGCAGTACTTTGTCAGTGCTCTTTAACGAAACTGGTATTGTCTAATGCACAATATATATATATATATATATATATATATATATATATATATATGCACTTAGACAATAGTACTTTGTCAGTGCTCTTTAACGAAACCGGTATTGTCTATGCATATATATATATATATATATATATATATATATATATATATATATTTATATATATAAAAGAAATTGTCATATTGTCTAATATATATATATATATATATATATATATATATATATATATATATATATATATATATATTGTGCACTTAGACAATACCAGTTTCGTTAAAGAGCACTGACAAAGTACTGCGATTAAGCTTTTTATTTCATTTTCTTTATATATATTTATTCTAGCGGAATTACCCGCGGCTTGCTACATGTCACTCAGTTTTTTGTAAGAATATGATGATTGATTTTAAACCATTGTTATAATTTGTGAAGCAATATGATGCATTTCAATATAACTCAACGATCTTTGTGATGTGACCTCCTTCTTCTGACTTTTTCCTACTATATTTTGGATATCCCTTGTACAAATTTAAATTTAATTTAAATCATCGGGATTTGATCAATCAGATATTTGATGCAATTCTTGAATGAATGAATTGATGAGCACATATCTTCATTGATATGATAGTTGGACTGCCGCAAATAATATGTATTGTAAGTTGGTGATTTCTTGCTCATGCTTGATGTTCATATTTTCTCATTTCTATCTTGACGATGTGACCTCCATCTTCTGGCTTTCTCCTTCTATGTTTTGGATAGGAGTCATTTCCTTGTTAAAATTTAAATTTACTTTAAATCAGAGGGAAAACATTTTCAGTGGGGCATGGTTGTGCCCACTGGGAACCCCTTTGATCAATATGAGATATACTTATTCATGTACCTTAGGAGTGATTCCCTTGTTCAAATTTACATTTAATTCATATCAAAGGGAAAAAAAAATCATTCGAGAGTTGTGCCCCGGGAAACACCTTTTGATCAAAATGAAATATACTTATCGAAGTACCCTGAGTAATGTAGTTTTAGAATATTTATGGTTTGGGGGGTCTATCTCCAAAACCCTAGGAGGAGTTCGATAACAAACAAACAGACAGTATATATATATATATATATATATATATATATATATATATATATATATATATATATATATATATTTGGTGAATAATTATCAGGCGTTTTTGTAGGCGAGTCATTTGTTAATAAAAAGTGTTGTTTTGTTTACTTTTTTAATAAAAATATTATTTTCAGGTTGCAAAAAATGGTTGTCGATAATCATACTCACCGGAATAATCATTTACAAATGCAATTGTTGATCTGTTATGTGCACCTACCCAATATATATATATATATATATATATATATATATATATATATATATATATATATATATAAATAATCCGTTCGTATAATACAGGCGGTTCCTATTATGACAATATAGAATTTGAAATATGTTAAAACTGACACACAATGAGCGCTCAATGTTTATTTTCATTAAAGAGGGCAAATTATCTTTGCAATTGTAATTAAGTTACCTTTAGTTTTCACCTAGGAATTTTAATTTCAAAATTCACAGGATTTTTCAAACTGCTTATGGTATTAATTTGTAGTGGAATACTGTTTATTTCGAGAACGAAAGAGAGAGAATGTCATAGGGGACTTATTGCGAGGTATGAGGAGAAGAAGGCATTGATATATATATATATATATATATATATATATATATATATATATATATATATATATATATGAAACATCCCATCGGACGAGAGCGAGTGTGTATGTGTATCTGCGTACCTCATCGGGTGTACGGACATGCATCTATGTTTGCGTTAGCATGAGTGACATCACGACGACGATTCCCCACACCACTTCCATAATAACACTAATACACGCAATCTACATGAATCCAATTTTTTTTTAAATTAATCAGTTTGTCTGATGATCGCAAAAGCGTGAAACCCAGTGTCACAAACTCACATCAATCCAATCAAATATATATATATATATATTAAAGAAAAACAGACCACTTTAAGGTACCATTATAATAATTTATTTCACCAGAGCCCTTTTAAAGCACTCCGGATGATCAGATAGCACTTTCAAAAAATGAAACAAAAAATGAAATGAAAATTGATGGGTAGTGTAAGTTTTTGTAATTCAACAGAGATTATAATAAGGAGTGGTTAGAGAGACATGCTAGAGTTTAGAGAGGGTTTAATTCAATATTTCTCTCAATCATATATATATATATATATATATATATATATATATATAATGTATCTGTATTTTACTTGTTATCAACGCACGCAACCTTTGTCTATAACTTTGTAATAAAAAAAAAAACTTTTCTGAGGAAGTAGTGAAAATGTTCATGTTAAAGTAGGAAGAATTCGCTCTATTTTTGTCCAGAGAGATACACCACTGTCTTGAATGGCAATTGGTTGTTCGCGTTAGTTTTTATGCACGATACGCTTATAAACTCATAAATAACTGCCCACTCGAAAGCTCTGTCTTCCATACTTTATATCTTCATCCATTCAGTGGAGGTTCATGACCTGCTAGATTTGTTGAATATTAATCGAAGGCAAGATTAACCGAATTACATTAGGCTCAATTCATTTCAGTATCCTGATCCTTGATTATTTTAGTATTTTATTATTATTATTATTTCTGAATCAAATTGCCCGGTCACGTGATCACACTTCGATTAAATAAGTGCAAGAAGTGAAATCCAGCGAGTAGCAAATATTAGCAAACGAAATTAAAAAAAAAATAAATAAATTAAATAAATTGAATCAATCATGCAAAAATGTCCGCCCTAGAATTTAATCGCATTGAACTGTGGTTACAGTGCTGAATGGAAACCCATGTATGCACAAGGAAATTTATAATCGTATGGCTGAGATAACGTCACTTGTTAGTTCGAACACATAGTGACACTAATATCGTTTTAAACACACACACACACACACACACACACACACACACACACACACACACACATATATATATATATATATATATAGAGAGAGAGAGAGAGAAGCGGGTGTAGCGGGCTATTAGTTCCGTTCTAACAAGCGTTTGAAAAGAATAGACAAGGTACTTCATTTAAAATTTGAATAGATTGGGAAAAAGAAATTCTTCTTCTTCTTCTTCTTCTTCTTCTTCTTCTTATTATTATTATTATTATTATTATTATTATTCTAACACAGTTACTTTAATATTGTTCATTTTAAATTCAAACACACACACACACACGTATATATATATATATATATATATATATATATATATATACTTGTGTGTGTCTTCAAATATATATACTTATATACATGTACCTATGTATGTATCTATATATATATATATACATATAAAATCTGTTGTTCAGCTTAATTTATATTACAATGAATTACGTTGTTTGATAAAATCCTACAAAAAATTTCTTAAATTGCCATATTAGTAAAAAAAAAAACAAAAAAAAAACGCACACACTTAAATTTTGAAAACTTCAACATTAGTGTTGCGCCTGCACGCTCCGTAGATTTGTATCCGTGATCAATAACACATTAAAAAAAAAAACATATTTCGATTTGGATATTTTTTTCGTCTCGGATCCTACCTAAATTTTTTCTCAAAACCAAAATAGTTTCCGTGCCTGATATTGACCAATAGAACCGTCGAAAGTACTTGTGCATTTAAGAAAGACCTAATACAGTTTATGACTTAAAAACAAGGATCATAGCATTCATCGAGTGATTAGTGGGTTAATGCATCTTAACATTTTGTTAGCAAAGGAATTTCGTCATTTTATATAAATTAACTTTACTAATTTTCTTTTTTTATGAATGATTCATTGTAATATATATATATATATATATATATATATATATATATATATATACTCGATAAGACGGGTTTCATTGAATAATATCGATATATTGTGTCTATTTATTTTTTTACTGATCCTTTCCAGTTGTCTAATCAGTTTCTTCATTTGTCGGATACAATTTCTATTGTACAACATCTAGAAACACATTTCTGTTCACCTTCACAATACAGGAAAATACTTGCTAACAAAACCGATATACTACACCACGAAAATAATAAGCAAAAACTCACATTCTCGAGGCCGTCTATATCAAAATTAACCAACCAACACTCAACAAAATTTCTTACGAGTATAGCAACAACATATTAAAATGTATATAACATGAATACCATTTTACATTTCTACCAATTTCCAGTAACCTACTTTATACTGAAACGATTGTTTTGTAAAAAAATAAAAGTAATTACACCGAGCGATCGGACGTGTTATCAAAAATCACCATCAGAACTGCTTGACTCTCATACGTCGAATTCGAATGTTTTTTTGTAAACAGTGACTATTATGTCTAATAATGCAAGACTCTTCGGTAAAGCGAATCAAATCCTCTCGGTTACTGTGTGTTTATCTAAAAATAAATACGCTTTACCTTCACCTCCTTTCTTGCCGTGCGCCAAAGGCTTGGGGTAAATTCTCCGACTGACGCCAATTCAGCCAATTTTCGATACAACGGTTCAGTGGTAACATTGCTGAGACAAACACGCCGGCGGCCTGACAGTGGGCCACCACTGATGAGCTGTGATACAGCGAAACAGACTGTCTGTGGATGACAATGTATATATATATATATATATATATATATATATATATATATATATGTGTGTGTGTGTGTGTGTGTGTGTGTGTGTGTGTGTGTGTGTGTGTGTGTGTGTGTGAAATATATAGAAAATGGGAAAGAACTCATTAGGTAAATAATCCAAAGTTATTTAGTATAATTGTTATTATTAAAAAAAAACAGTGCTCAATACAAAAGTAGAGCTTAAATATAATTATTTATTTAAAAATATGATTCCTTCGCTACATAAGAGTTCTCACGTTTCAAAACAATAGCCGAAAACTTCAATATAATTATTTGAATTAAATCGAATTAAAGTACCAAGCTCTGTTCCATCTTCAAGCAAAATTTTACGAATAACTAATTCTTGAAATTTACGCGTTTTTATAAGCATATTCATTATTAAAATTAAAATTACTATGGTAACGGCTAGAGCAATTAAAAAAGGGGGGGTGTAAGTTTAATAATTTGTATCAATATCTCCGTTATATTCAAAGAGGTCATGTCAGGGTAAGGTTGCTTTTTATTTGAATTAAATAAACATGAGAACTCTTATGTAGCGAAGGAGTCATATATATATATATATATATATATATATAGATAGATAGATAGATAGATAGATAGATAGATAGATAGATAGATAGATAGATAGATAGAGAGAAAGACAGAGATTCAGGATTTTCATTTAATCTTCCAGTTATTTGTAGTAAAAAAAAAAAAAAAAACATGCGAAAAGTTAAGATGGTCTCAAGTTCAAACTGAGAAGCGACTGTCACAATGGGGATAATTATTCTGTACACAATGATTATTTCTCTGTGGATGTTTGCGTCCCGTCCGTACATGTGTTGCATGTATGTACGCGCTAATGAAAGTACAAATGCTGATAGATATGGGCAGAAAGTGTAAAAGAGAGAGAATCGGTAAGTAACGAAGACAGAGACGTTCTTGGAAACAAAGGAATAATTGTGAGGCGGCAGAAAACAGAAACAAAGTTGCATTTCATTTTGTGCGTCTGTGTGAGTGTACGTTTGTGTGCGTGTGTATATATATAAAAAAAATACACAGTCACACAAGACAAGATTTCATATTGTGTTCAATCATCTGTACTTTATGTTCTGGCAATGCGAATGTGCATATTCCTTATAAATACGTTTAGGCACCATTCTCAGACAGTCTGGTATGAAATGAGATTTCCGACGATGTCTTGTAATTGGAGGGAAACTGAAGATATCACCCCACGGCGAACTTCGGTTCACTTCGTTAAATAAAAGACAAAATTGAACATTAGGCTGTATTACTTTATTTTGAAACGGCAATTGTTTTTTGTCTGTACCTTTCAATACACACACACACACACACACATATCGGTGCGTATAAGTGTATGCTTAATCAAACTTCGTATATATATAT